CCCCAAAACCCCAAAACCCCGTCATAAGTTTATCAAATTGAATTAAATGAAATAAAAATCTTAGATGAAAAGTAAATATACCTAACTATCATTTTAATCAAATTTGGCATCATAGGTTCAGCATTCCATTATTTATATTACTAATGAGCATTTGATTATTAACTTTAAAATTGCTCTAGGATTTGATAGCTTTGGAATCTATTTAACTCTAAATCCGATAGTTGTCTTCTTCATTTTCTGATAAAGTCACTGTGAAATCGCATTAAGATAAAGAAGGATAGGAGCTATTGTAGAAAGGGTCTTTATTGATAATCTAATTGTATTCTTATAAAATTTCCTGCTCTTGCTGATTGTAATAAATAAGACGAGAGCTATTTTCAGTATTGCTAAAGTCTCTTAACAATTTTTCTTCTTCTTCTTCCTCAGATTCTAGATTTTTAGTTTCATGAGTAATTTGAGTTTACTCTGGGGAAAATTTCAGGAATGGCTAATCATAAATGCTTTTACTCTGTTTAATTTTCGCATCTTTCTATATTTTTGGAGTAATTTCTTTCATTGGCATAGTTTATATCGCAACATCTTTTGAATTTTCGATGTTTTAAACTTTCTTTGCTATTGGAATATGTGGCTAATCTCTTCTTATTGTTAGTTTCACAGAAAATTCATGCCCAAATGGGTAGAATCCAATTAGATTATAATTTGTAGGTATCAGAGTTTTTGAGTCCTTGATTTAATAATATCGAGTTTATTAATATTTACACCAATTTTTGTATCTCTACAGCTTTTCTAAATTTATGCTTTGAATTGGATCTTTTAGTAGCATTTCATTAGTTTTAATTTATTAAGATTCCTATAAGTTTTCCTGCTAGTTATTCAGAAGTAGCCTTTTTACTAATTTATTGCATTTATCAAAGTACTTAATAAGTCACTTCTACTTATGAATGCCATATTCATCAGGAGCTTCTCTAATTCTTTATAGGCTTTTCTAGTTTTTATCAAATTTCTCGAGTAGAGTTTGATTTCCGATTCGAAAGTAGGGTTTTGTTCCAAATTTTAAAATTTGCATTAGAGTATTCTTTATATTAAAGCCTCTTTTAAGGTTCTCATTATTACCTAGAAAAAGGCAATCAGTATAATATGTTTGCTTGATAAATGGTCTTTCACTAGATAATGCACCTTTTTCTGCCTCGCTTTCCAATTTCATCTTTTCGTCATCTTACTCATAGTCACTCATATTCTAGTCCTCAGTATTCTCTTTTTTTATAATACTAAGTCCTAAAGCATCTCTTTCTGCTGGATCTTCTTCCTTTTAGGTAGATTGCTAATTTATCCCTTAATTTTCTCTATCTTTTTGTCTCTTAATTTGAGTTAATCTCTGAAGATTCCAATATGAAAGATATTCTTCCTCATATCTAAGACTATCCTTGATTGCTTGGTATTTTGAATTCTAGCGTAGTTCTGGATCCAGATAAGTCTTCACAATAAATGGTATACCTCTTGTAACATAGCAACCAAGTTTACTTTCAATTATATCATTTTACATATTGACCTCTTAGATTTCTATCGGCTGATTCTTTTATTTTTCAATTAGTTCTGCTATTGGATCTTTGATTAATCGATCTTCTTTTGGTGGTTCAATAATCGGTATAGCATAGCCTCTAAATTTTGAAGAAATACTATCTTTTGGAGTTTGAATAATGAAGACCTAGCCCATCGAAATGATAGTATCTCCATTCGAATAACTAACATTAAAAGCATATTATGCATCAGCTGCTTAATGCCACTTACCTCTTCCTCTTTTCTTGACTGTTATATCTTCAGTTTTGCATTTGTTAAAGTCTGCCCCTAGAATCTTTCTTAATCTCTAATTTAGCTTTTCTAAGTCAATCCCTTATTTTTCCAACTCTCATTCCTTACTTTTATTATCAATGCACTCCTCTTCACTTTCATCTGATCTTACTAGATCCATTCTACTATCTGCATCCTCCTGGTATTCTTATTTAATCAAAAATTATTGCTATTTAATTTCTTCTTCTTCCTCTTCATCGTCGTCTTTTTCAGTTTGTGTATTTTATAGATCTAAATTCTCATTAATTATTTATTCACTTTGCTGAGGAGCTTATTGAATTATTTATTCATTATTCTGTTAATCTTGAATTTCATTGAATTATTCCCCAGATCTAATTGGCTCAATTCCTTTTTCATCAATATTTTTATCATCATGTTCCTCGATCAACAATATCCCCTATCTAATATTTGCCATTTAAATCTTCATTCTATTAGCTTTGTCCTATAGTTAAAGGAAATTAGAGTAGTGATGTAGCGTTATAATTTCAGAATCTTTTTAGAGCTCTGGTAATTGATCTGGTGCTTGAAGTATCTCACCACTCATCCTATCATTCAAGGAATTAATGAAAAACTCGAAAATTATCAGATTAACCTATCTTTCTAGTAGCCCTCTTTCATTCTTTACGACTTTAATTTCAAAATCAAAGACTTCAATAACTATGAGTGTGCTGATTTATGAATCCTTTGAGTTTTACCAAATATTTCAAAGCTTGTCATATTCCTCTTCCTTACCTTTGATATTGAAATGTACAGAAATCTTTTGAAATCCATCACTAACCATTATCAGATCTTTAAATTCTTCACCTTAAGCCTGCATATCTTATGTGCATATATATTATTGCTGTTAAGTCATTACTTATTAACTCATTTCAAGATGAGATTCTTATTAAGATAGTCCAATGTCAATCTTGTTGGCAGAATTGTATCTTGTTACTATTATTTTTCTTAGCGGTACTTTTTCCATTTCAGGCAAGTCTTTTCAAAGATGTTGAACTAATGCCTCTTTGAGTATTGGAATGGAAAAGAACTCTCTTCTATTCATAATAGCTTGTTTATTAAAGAAATTAGGAAATTATTATATAAGTAGATCTTAACATAATAATAATTAATTTTGAAACTGTATTTAATTTGTGTAAATTTAATTTCATCGATCTGATTCCTATTTTATATAAATGGGGTTTTGGGGTTTTGGGGTTTTGGGG